CCTTATTCCAACACATCCTTTCCACATTTAATTGTAATGCGCTCGCGTATATAAATATTAATTTATATTTTTCATCGTAACGACAGCACATGCAAAGAAAAGCCAAAAAAAGGAGAATATTGAAAGAACGAAATAGATGCGATGATAAGCACACTGATGAAAAAAAAACTACCTACCTGATGAAAATGTCATGGTTCGCTGATTCACGTAAACATGTTCATGTGGAGAAAAAACGAAGTAATTTCGTCAACGATAAATATGAAGTAATATTGATTGCAAACACACAAAACAAACTCACACACTCCAGTATTACTCAATATGTAAGTACGTTTAATTTCTAACGTTATTAGACTAGCGATCAAATTCCAGCTGAAAAATCAGAGTAACTACAAACGAGAAAATATGACGGAATATAGAAATGAGGTATTTCAATTGCCAGAGATCGATTTCAAGAAAGTTCGATTAAAAATATTGAGCATATGCGATTAATAATCTTGATTGTCACAGCTCTTCAACGTAAAATAGTCTAACCACAAGTCATGCCAAACCGAATGTCCTTTGAAATGCCTAGACTTTACTTAGAATTCTAGTGGCACACAACACAAATCTCATTTTTAAGTGGCTAACATAGCAAGGGTGTGGATGTGGGTATTATTATCTTCCTCACACCCACACCCACCTCTTGTCGGTAAAACCTGTATACTTTTTTATCGAAGCAGTGCAAAATGATGATGTCAATGATTATTATAGTGGAATCAATGTATGGCAGATAATGAAGTTCTCAATCCTATTTTATATTTATATATTTTTTTTTTAAATCGAGATTACTCATGATAGATTAAAAAAAGAGAGAGGAATGTTGATATAATGGTTACGTGAAGGATGTTACATACTTAGAAAAAAACATTAACTACAATACAAATGAAAAAGAGCTAAAATATTTAAAATAGTTTCTCTTCATTAATGTAAATTTGATATCGAATTTATATCATGAACTGGAGCAGATCATGAGTTCGTTGCTTGAGTGGGTGGTCCTAAACCAATGGCGCCTAAATTATAGATAAAGAAATGAAAATCGAAACGAGTATAGAAATTACGATAAAAACAAGGAATTATTCACTTGAAGTCTTTCAAATCAAAGAAAATGATCCTGAAAAACTCTGTTTTCTAAATAATAAATCGAGTAAAGTCATCTTTGATAGGGTAGGAAATAAATTGGAAACTTCAATTTTATACATAGAATTTATATTTTATATAGAAGCTTGGTAAAAATTGTATCAATTATCATTGCATTTCTTTTATTTTAATCTATGTAGGTTTTTTAAGACTGATTTGAGTTGTGTCTTTTCTCTGCGGCCCATATACAATGCCTACATTTTGCAGTATTTTCTGGAACAATAAATGTGCTCATTTAACTACTTCTCATTGAAAATTATAGGTATAAACACAGACGGTGTCCAATTTAAGGAAATAGCTGGCTTAGTGCTTCAGTAAACATCGATGCCAGTGTCGCTCATGTACCAGTGAACTCAACGTCGGTAATATCGTTGTCAGTATTAACATTAAAATTGAACACTTCTAGGGCTGACGAATGAAAAATATTTCGATGAGTTATTAACTGCTAACTGCTGAAAATATGTGTTCCAAGTAATCAGATTTTATGTCCAATATTGGCAAATAACGTGCACCTGTCAGACATATTTATGATGCCATTATGATAAAGTCAATTTTATTAGTAAATTTTATTAGTAACTTTTATTGCGTAGTCAATAGAGCTGAATTCGTTTTATTTTTTCCAATAAAGGTAATGTCAATTTATTCAGAAGATAAGATATTTTTTATTTTCATGGTCTCTAACACTTTGTTTATCGTTCGGTACTCAAATGAAAAAAATTTGAATCCTTTATTTTGCATCGATAAAAATTTATTTAAAAAATTAATTTTATTTAAATTTTAAACAAGGTCAGAGAAATAAATGTTTTAAATAAATCTGCTGTGTCCCATTACGTTAGTAATTACAGTTTAAAATATTCAGTTTAAAAGTTATATCAAATATCTCAGGATAGATTTTAATTTATAAAAAATTTAATATATTATAATTCAGTAAACAAGATATTAAATCAGTTTTTA